TGCTGTGCATAAGGTCATTATGGGTCTGTACCGACTCGATGGCAACAACAACCACCACCACCACCCTCTAGCTTGTGAATAATTTGCCCCCCTACTATCAAAGGTTATTTCTTTATCTGGAAAATATATTTAAATTTTTTTTTACAACATTGGTCTCATACAATATTTGTTCTTTTGTGATTGACTAATTTCACTCAGCATAATGTCCTCCAGGTTCAACCATGTTATGAGGTGTTTCATAGATTCATCATCATTCTTCAGCGTTGTGTAGTGTATTCCATTGTGTCTATGTACCAAAGTTTGCTTAACCATTCTTCTTTAGATGGGCATTTAGGCTGCCTCCATCTTTTTTACGTCTCATGTAGACAGTATATTGAAGGATCCTATTTTCTTATCCATCTGTTCTCATTCCCCCCTCATTTTGCACCAAAGTGCCCTCACGAAAGCTTGTACGTCAGCCACTTCATGTCTTTGTAGCGCCCCCATTTTTGATAGCCAATGTCTAAATTTCCCTGTCCCTATCAATCTAATATACTGAGGAAACAAGTTTGTTCCTTGATATGAAGAATCTTTGCATTCTGGTTGGAATTTTGAGTCCGTATATTCATGGACAAAAGTCTAGTTCATCAAATTGTAGCAAATTGCACTTGTTCTCAGCAAACATCTTCATCTTCTTTCTTTTGAGATATGGTCAACTCACCATCCATTTAAGTCAGATGGGTACTAGCTGCAAGTCTGGGAGTTCACATACCCTTTGGTGAATTTTCTGACAGCAGATTAAAGGAAATGAATATTATAGTTGTATTTTTAAAACATTAAGCACAAAATAAAACTTTGACTTGCTACATATCTTCAGTTTTTGAATTAAAGTAAAAATATCAGATTGTTTCAAGTGTTAAAAACAGGAAATTGCCATTAGGCATTTGAATTCAAGAAAAATATTGTTGTGAAATCTAGATATTTAGTTCATTTATGGATTCTCCATCACCAAAATTTGGTTTGAAATTATTTGCACGCTAATCCCCCCACATACATATACACAAAGCCCACTGCCATTGAGTTGGTTCTGACTCATAGTAGTTTTGATATATTCTATTCTCTACTATCCTGGCGTGGCACTGTAAGATAAGCACTCAGCAAGGTCAGATTGAACCACAAGTTCAGCATTTCAAACTCACCAGTGGCTCCTTGGAAAACCCTATATAGGGTTGCCATGAGTCGGAACCTACTAGACGGCACTTAGCAACAACAATTATCTACTATAATTAAAAAGAATGAATTATGTTAAACCTTATTTTATTTAACAGACATGTTTGAAAATTGCATGTCACATCATATTTTTCCACAGATATTCTTATGTTAAATGTGTACTGTTGCTTTTATTTTTATTACTTCCACTGACAGATTTTTCTCTCTAGTTCATTGACAATCTAAATGACAAAAAATTTGTGAGGTTCTGTTTTTAAAGGAATTTGGGGATATCTTTCCATAACATAAAGCAAAAATACATTGTTTTTGTAAAGAAGATTTTCTTCTCAACTATGCTTAGTAATTTTACCTCCTTATAATTTAGGACATATGATACCTGTGAAGTTTCTCCTGGACCCCACTTGAATATGATTATTGGAGCTAATGGAACAGGGAAGTCCAGCATCATGTGTGCCATTTGCCTTGGATTAGCTGGCAAACCTGCTGTCATGGGACGGGCAGATAAGGTAGGTTAACATAAGAATTTTTTTGTTGTTGTTATTGAATTCAAAACTACCAATTACTTTGAATCAATCAGTGCAAACCCATTTCTGCATATCTGTTCTCTGAATATAGCAAATGTATAGTGCTATAATGTGAGAAATGTGAGGTTGATAGGTAGAAAAACTAAGAGGAGATTTTCATTTCTGGAAGTATTTTTGACAATTCAATGTGGCTTTAAAAATTTCACAGAAAAATTGAATGAAAAGAGAATGGAGTTTTTCCACAAACTTTTTGAAGGCCCATTTTCTATCTAGAAAGTTCTAACATGTTAAAATTTGAGTCAGATAATATAGTTGTAACTACATGGCTTGGTTTGTGGAAAGGTGGGGGAAATGTGCTAAAGGCGAACCAAAATAATGTGAATCTGAAGAGGTAAGCAGACTGACCTTGTTTCCCCAGAAATATTTGTTGATACCCAATTCCTTAAAGTCTGACTTTAAACTGGTTATAGAAAGTTGGGGGTGCTCAGGATAGGGAAGATAAAACCCAAAGCCAAGCACTTTGTGTAGCTGAAATAAGAATAGCAAAGAATGAAACAGAGAGGGTTACTTGTCTTCTGTTATCTCTCAATGGATTAGGGGAAAAAGAGTTCTTAACTATAAGCTTTAACACATTTGAGGCTAGAAATCCTATTAATTTAAGGTTAGAATTCATGTAATCGTTTACAGTGAAATACTTTTTATTTATTTTGTTGTTGAAAATCTCACAACAAAACATACACCAACTCAGCAGTTTCTACGTGTACAATTCAGTGACATTGATTCTATTCTTCCAGTTGTTCAACTGTTATCACCTTCCTTTTCTGAGTTGTTCTTCCCGTTAGCCGGAAGGCTCCTGTCTCGTCTTAGGGTTATTGTTGTCACTTGGATCCCTTGTAGGTAGTTCCTAAGAGAGCATAATGCTCAAGGCAGACCCTTTTTTGTTTTTTAACTAGTTATGCTAACTGTTGTTCGCAGGGGATATTTTTGGGTTTAAGATATAAAGATAGTCTCAGAGCAATAATTTCAGGAGTCCATCTAACCTTCATGTTTCCAGAAGTCTGGAGTCCATGAGAATTTGAAATTCTGTGCACTTTCCTCCTTTTAAGCATGATTCTTCTATGGAATGTTTGATCAAAATGTTCAATAATGATAGCTGGACACTATCCAGTTCTGATCATGGCAAAGGTAGTAGTTGTTTGTGGTGGCCACTAGCCACATTCCATATCCTTCTCCTTCCTGACTCTTTCCTTTGTTGTTCCAGACAAATAGAGGCTATGAAGTTTTTGGTTGTACATAGGAAGCCTTAGCAACTACTTGGTTTTTTGTTGTTGTAAATACATCTGTCTTGGTTATTTATTGCTGCTATGATAAGTAACCCTGGTAACATAGTACATTAGTGGATTACTAGCTGGACTGCTAACCGCAGGATCAGCAGTTGGAATCTACCACTCGCTCCTCCGGAGAAAGATGAGGCTTTCTGCTCCCGTAAAGATTTACAGCTGAGGAAACCCTAGATAGGGTCACTATGAGTCAGAACTGTCTCGGTGGTATAACAACTGTCATAGCAGAAATAATACAAGTGTGTGATGGTTACAAAAGAAATTTATTCTTTCACAGTTAAGGAGACCAGAAGTCTGAATTCAGAGTGCCACTGTAAGGGACGATTTCTCTTTCTGCTTGAAGGTCCTATCTCCTCTCAGCATCCCTTGGAGAGCTCCTTGTTTTTTAACACCAATTTTTCCTGGGGTCTTGGAGATTCTCAGTGTGGGGAGCCCAGGTCTTAAGAACTCAGCTCTTTTTTTCTTGTGGTCATCAGGTTCCTCTAATCTCTGCTTGCTTGTTTAATCTCTATAGAATAAGCACTCGTCCTTAAGGTTGGTTTGAACCGAAAGGTTGGTGGTTTAAACTCACTAGCCACACCTCAGAAACCCTGTTATATACAGGGTTGCTGTGAGTTGGAGTGTACTCCACGGTACTTAACAACAACAACTACAACATACCTTGAATGAGATTTCTAATCTTATAGATTGTATCCTGCCTCATGAGTATCATAGAGATTAGGATTTACAACTCTTTGAATAATTGCATCAGATCACAAAATGGAAGGTAGTAACATAATACTGTGAAGTTTTACAGGTGTATAACTTATTGACAGCAATTGTAGTAATCATCTGTAACCAACACAAACTAAAATCTTAAATTGCCATTTTAGTTTTAAGTGGTACCAGTTAGTAAAATTTCCAGGTATCTGGCAGAAGCAAATGCAAATTCTTCACTCCAGTCCTCAAAAGAATTCTAGCAAAGTTGTAAGAAATTCATATATCCATACTTAAAAATGAGAAAGCATGGGAGGAAATGAATCACCAGAAATAGCCAACAAAAACAATGGAATACAGAATCAGACTTACAAAGCTTACAGATACTAACTAGAATCATCAGGTAGAGAATAGTAACTAAGTGGATTTGGTATGTTGAATACAAGTATAAACCGCAAACCAAACTTACTGAATAGAATTGTTTGTTAGGGTTTCCAAGGCTGTAAATTTTTATGGAAGTAGACTGCTTGATTTTTCCCACAGAGAGGCTGGTGGGTTCAAACTGCTGACTTGTCAGTTAGCAGCCCAGTGTTTAACTCACTCATTGTTGTAAGCTTAACAAAGGAATAAGTGACAGAAAGATTCTTCAGATTTGAAAAAGTATCTAGTAGAATTTAAAGAAATGAAAAATGCATTACTTGAAGTGAAACTCTTTGACAGGAAAAACAGCAAAGTCGAAATACTAGGAGAAAATTAGTAAACTGAGAGACCTGAATATGTTTCTTAAACTGTAAAAAAAGATTTGTTCCATAAAAAATATCTAATCGAGTGAAGATATATAATGAATAAAGATAATCCGGTGTGCATCTTATTGCAATTTCAAAAGCAGACAATGGAGACTAAGGAAGATGCCAGTATTCTCTATTAAAGAGTAAATATTGAAAAACATAAATTCTCGCATTATAAGAAACACAATAGATCTTGGCAGGAGAAATGAAAGAAATCCCCGCAGGCATGCATTACAGTGAATTACAGAATACCAGGTACAGAGATTTTTAAAGCAGCAAAAACTACAGAGTAACCAGAATTAGAATAAGAACTGACTCTTGGACGTTAGAAAAGAGTGGAATAGTATTCTCATATACCTCGGAAACCCTGTACAGGGTCGCTATGGGTCAGAACCGACTCGATGGCACTTAACAACAACAACCCAAGAAAGCAAGAGCCAATCTATATATAATGTGCTGGACTGCAGAGTCGATCTGAACCACAGAGTCAGCTATTCAAGCTCACCAGCCATTCCTCAGAAACCCTATACAAGGTCTCTATGGGTGGAACCAACACGATTAGCACTCAGCAAGTAATATCTTTACAAAATTGTTGAGGCACTTCTGACTCATAGTGACCTTGTGTAGGGTTTCTGAGAAGTGGCTGGTGGGTTTGAACCACAGACCTGTTGTGGCACTTTTTTTTTTCCAACTTTTTATTGTTTAATTTTCCCAGCACAACTGCTCAGTGAGTGAAGGTTTACAGAGTTATGTATATTAAATGAGAAAATGTATTCTAAGCAGTAACACAGCAGCATGTGTTGTTGTTGTTGTTAAGTGCCAATTCTGACCCATAGCAACCCTGTATAGGGTTTCCAAGGAGCAGTGAGCTTGAACCGCCGACCTTTCAGCTCAAACGATTTTGCAGTCTGATGCATTAGCTCACAGCGCCACCCCAAATCCACTGCTATCGAGTTGATTCTGACTCATAGACACCCTATAAAAAGTTTCTGAGACTGTAGATCTTTATAGGAGCAGACAGCCTCATCTTTTTCTGGAAAGCAGCTGATGGATTTAAATCATAGACCTTGCTATTTGCAGTCCAGTGCCTAGCCCACAGTGCCACATGGTAACCCTATGTATAATAAATGAAGCATTGAGCTGGATAACCTGGTTTTAGATCTTTGCTCTGAACTTACTTTGTCACTAGCTTTATAAAAAGCTAATTGCCTAATCCATAGGAGGTTCAATAATTGTTAACTAATATTATTGTTGTTATTTTGGGGAGGAAACGTTGTTAGGTGCTGTTGAATCCATTTTGGCACATAGCTATTCATGTGATAGCAGAACTGACCCCTAGGGTTTAGTCTGTCATCCTTATAGGAGCAGCATGCCAGGTCTTTTTTCTCTACAAAGCTGCTAGGTGGGTTTGAACTGCTTATCTTTTGGTTAGCAGCTGAGCACTTAACTATTGTACCACAACGGAGGGACCTAGATCTGGAAGTTTACATTTACAAAGTAATGATGGGAATGGGCGTACAAGGAACTTACTGACAGGATTTTAAGCTGATAAATAATAATGACTGTACTAAATCTCTGATGTTTCCACCAGGAATGTCATCACACACCTCACTTTTTCATTTTTATGTCTTAGGTTGGCTTTTTTGTGAAGCGGGGATGTTCGAAAGGCAAGGTAGAAATCGAATTGTAAGTGTTGAAGGTGCTCAAACCAGTTTTTCCTGTGTAATTTCTTAGTTAATGTTTATTTTTTTCTGTTGATGTTAGAAGAGAGTAGTAATATATTACAGCATGATTAGGAAGAATATTTTAAAAATATACAAATATAAGCTTATTTTTTTGTTTTATTTTTTCATTTTGCAGACTTCAAAAATCTAACTTGTAAGAATTTTCTTTTGGAAACATCTTAAGGAAGTTATAAGTTACTGAAATAGAAACATACCAATGTTAAATATACATACTGTTAAAATATTTTTCACAAATTTAAATATCAAATATCCATTGGCTTTGAAAATATGAAAGTATATAAAGCTGAAAATGAAAGGCTTTTCCTCGCCGTAATTCTACTTCTAGAACTAACCATTTGAACAGTTGTGCAAATAACATTTACAACAAATACTTGATATTTCTATCACCATATTCCATTTCTTTCCTCAAATAAATGGATAATGTATTATGATATTTAGTTTTCCTTCAACCTAGCTATTCCCATTATACCACCATTTCTGATGATTCAGGGATGGAACAAATTTACCAGCTTTGATGTATATACTTTCTGTCTTTTATTCATAAATATTCTCATAATTTAGATGAGTGTCATTTTTATAAAGGTAACTTTTCTGTATAGTAGCTTTTATAGAGAGTCATACAATTTTTGAGATATAATACATTCCTTAATGATCATATGCTAACTCTATAATTTTATAGGATATGAAGTTCTGATTTTTTATTCAAAATTTATTAGTTTTAGTTTTTTTAATGTAGAGATGAGAAATAGGCTCATATAACAATAAAATTAATTTTAAAAAGATTACGTACAACTTACTAAAATGTAAAAGTAGAATTTTACTGAAGAATACAAAACTAAGACCTGCATAGAGAAACATAACATTTTTCAAGAAGGATAAAATTATTGTCAGTAACATGTCCCTCCTTCTAACCAGAGGTTTAACAGGTAAGTTTACAAGTTGAATCTAAAATTCATTGGAAAGAAGAAATGCACCAGGAGACCTAAGACATTTTTTTAAAAAGCAGAAGACTTTCATGTACCACATGTGAAGTATACTATTCTGATTGATATAAAAGTGTGTGGTACTGGTACAGAAAATTAAAGGAGCAGACTTAAATGTATATGAGAAGGTATGAGTAGATTTCAGTATTTTTGAGAATTTAATGTATTATGAAGGTAGCAGTTTAAGTACAGGATAGCATTTAAATAATAAATTGAGTTGAGGCAATTCAGTGTTTTTTAACTTTTTATTGTTAATTGAGTGAACGTTTACAGACAGATCATCAGTTTTACATTCAGCAAAGCATATACTTTGTTTCATCTCAATGATTACAGTTCCATTTATGAAACAACAGTTACCCTGCTTTTCCTCCTTGTGGTTCCTATTTCCATTCTATCCACCTTCCAATTCCTTCTCAACTTTGTCTCAATGTTGCACTTTTGATTTTGAATGATTGACCATCCCATAGTAAGCATACCTTACTAGTGTTGTTGTCTCCCATATACCTGTCTACTGCTTGGCTAAAAATGGGACCACAAGAGTGAGATCCTTTCCAGACCTGAAGGGTGGTTGAGGGCCATACTCTCAGGTTCCTCCAGTCACTTTCTGACCAGTAAGCCCAGCCTTTATTATTATTATTATTAGTATGTATTTTGAGTTTTGTTTCATATTGTTTCCTACTCCGTCTGGGACTTTTAATTTGATCCCTTTTAGAGCAGTTGTTAGTGGTAGCCAGTTGCTGTTTAGTTCTTCTGGTCTCAGAGTTGTGGTGACTCGTGTTCATTTGTTCCATTATTCCGTTGGACTTACTGATTCCTAGCATCTTCAATTTTCATCACTGTTCTTTCTTCTGCACACAGAAGGAACAATAGCTGCACCTTATGAGCTTTTAAGATCCCTGATGCTGCTCACCAAAGTAGGATGTAGAACATTGTCTCTATAGACTGTGTTGTGCCAGATGACCTTTGTGTCCCCTTAGACTTATTATCATCCTGAGCCCCCAGGCCCAGCAACTCATTTGTCTTAAGATGTAATATCTAAGAAGTTGTCACCATTTTGCTTGCTGTATGCTCCACCACATTCATAAGTGTATTTGTAGGAAAGGTAAATACCCATGTACAAGTATCTTCTTTGAAACTTTTATATATTTGTGGTATAATCCCACTCTTCCTTCCATACCCATCATTCAGCCTGTGTCTCTGTCCATGTATTTGCCCACAGAACACTGTGGTTCCAAGGTAGTGTATGTATCACTAATTATCAAGAAAATCAAGATACAGTAATTTTGATATCTTTTTCTTTCATCTTGGAAATTTTTAAAAATAGTGTTTGTTGTTGGGAAGGTATAGGTAGTGGGTTGTACAATGTCATGAATTATTGTGAATTGTTGATCAGTGAGGTTGGCCCAGGATCGGACATTGTTTCGTTCTGCTGTGCATGGGGTAGCTATGAGTCGGTTCCGACTCGATGGCACCTGACAACAATAACATTGTTAAGTGCTGTCAGGTTGATTCTGACTCATAGCAATCCTATATAGGGTTTCTGAGGAGCCAGTAGTTAGCAGTCCAGTGGTTATTCTACAGTGCCACCCCAGATTATTCTTCACTAATTATCAAGAAAATCAAGATATAGTGATTTTGATATCTTTTTCTTTCGTCTTGGAAATTTTTTAAAATAGTGTTTGTTGTTGGGAAGGTATAGGTAGTGGGTTGTGCAATGTCATGAATTATTGTGAATTGTTGATCAATGTAGAGACAGTATGGAGTCTTGGTGTGGCACTGTGGGTTAATGTGCGAGACTGCAAAGCCATTTGAACTGCAAAGTTGGTGGTTCAAGCTCAACCTGCTTCTCAGAAATCCTATACAGGGTCGCTGTGGGTTGGAACCGACTCGATGGCACTTAGCAATAAAGTTTGGAATGTACATTAAAACATTCACAGAAGAAATGCTAAATGGGCAGTTAGATAACCCTGTGGTTCATGGAGAAGTCTGGGTCAAAGACAGTACATTTTGGGGAGCTGTCAGTAGCTCTGAGTGGATGATATCAAGGAGGAAGGTATGAGTATCAATAAAAGAAAACAAAAGATCTGAGAAAACCTTGTTGCACTGCAGTATCTATAGATTACATAGGAAAACCTAGGAAAGGAGATGAGAAGAATTTGCTGGTAAATCATAATATACTCGAAAAGCAAGTAAAGAAGTTGTGTCTGGTACCTATTTGCAAATATTAAAGTGAGGATAAGGGGCTTACATTTAGAAATAGCAATGTTGAGCTTAACCTTCATTGGATTTTGAGCAGGTGGTATTTACTTATTGCCATTGAATGGTCAGAGAAGGCTTGTTCACACTATTTTTGAACTGAGAATTGACTGATGAGTCAACCATCATCAGACTCGGGAGACTGAGCACTTTGTGCAAAGGCTCTGAAGTAGAAATAAGCTTGATGTTTCTGTGGGAGAGTGCCAGTGTGGCTGGAGTCAAATGAGGTACTTGTTGGAGAGTTTTGGAAACTACTCTTTATTTGATTGGGAATATTCTTTTCCATTCCTAATTGGGATGTTTATGATAAATACCTTATGAATTTTATCAACATCTGTTGAGTTGGTCTTAATTATGTTAATGAATTAGATTAATTTTTCTTAAGTTCAGCCAACCTTACTTTCTTAGAATTAACTCAATACGGTCGTAATTTTATTAATGCCATTTGTCTTTAAATTTTACTTAACCTGCCATTAATACGGTCAGCAGTTTGTTTTTTTAAAAGTTTTTCTGATTATTTTCTTTCATGTATTTAAAGATTTCTGTATCCTTTATAGCTCATTTAATCAAACATAGCTGACTTCTTAGTCTTTTAGATAAAGAATTTAGTTAACTTGTAATTATGCATTTATTTGAAATTATTTGTATTGCTTTATTTTGTGCTTTTTATTTGTACCACATTTCTGTATTTCTTTTCTCTCTTCTCTCTTTGTGTCTTAGTTAGCTAGTGCTGCTGTAACAGAATCCAGGTGGGTGGTTTTAAAGTACAGGAATGTATAGTTTCATAGTTGAAGAGACTAGAAGTCTGATTCAGGGAAGGCCTTTTATTTCACAATTTCAAGCCATAGTTTGAGAATGAGAACTTGCCTTAATGGTTCCTAGTAGTAGTGGTGATAGAATACTTCAAGTTTATACTGATGCTGAGATTACAGCCCTTTGGGGGTGGTTTTCTATTCCATTCTCCACTTCTGGTAACGCTAAATGGTCTGCAAAGTCCTTCCCCAACCCAGTCCTAGGAAATCATGAAATATTCACCTGGTTGAGCACTGCCATTGAGAACCAATTTGATTTTTTTGTTACTCGGTTTCTACCTTCACTGGGATTTTGGCTAGAGTTCCTGGCTTTTGTGGTAATGCATGAATGCATCGATGAAGATGTTTTAATTTTTTTATCTACTCACTTTAGTTGCTTATAGCAGGAGGATCAATAAGTGTCCCTCATTAGGCATTCTTCTGCAAATGAAAGTTTGAGACTACTTTTTTTAAAGTCCTAAATCTTAACTGTTTTGAAGTGTTATGATTACAGTATAATCTGTATATACAACATTTACAAATTATCATTGTTATTTAGCCATTGGATACCAATAATTTATCTTTCTACCACATGCTGCTGATTCCCAGTGAAGAAGATGGATGAATAGATGGGAGGTGTGAAGCAGTAGTACTTCTAAAAGCAGGAAATAAGTAAATACCCTTCTTTCAGATTCTATATTACTTAATGTTCCTTATCACCATGTGATGTATTCCCCCCTGAATTCAGAGTGGACAACATATGGAGGAAGCCATGGCCACTTAAATGGGCAGGGTGGTTTTGATTTCTGGAAATGTTTAGACAAGAGTCAGTTTCATTCATTTTCGAAGTAGAGGGACTATCAAGGTTTAGCTGCTTTATACTTTAACTCACCACACCTTATTTTGAATTG